GTTTCAAAGATATAGAAGAGACAGGCACAAAGGTAGAGGAAAAGGTAAAATGAATACTGTGAAAGTGGCCGAATATGACATACAGTGGGGTCATGGTAGTTTGAAGTCAGAAGTCAACTGCCAGTTAATAGACTTTTTTGCCGTATGAGTATACGTTGCCTAGGGTGCACCACGAGGAGGTAAGTCTATCGCACACCCCTAATTTCTGATTATGATTAGAGCCAAAAAATTGGGAAGTCATTATCAATTACTACAGCTTAACTTACAGAAAGTTCGAAGAGCGAATTACATTTCAATCTACTCGATTTATTATACAATCTCTTTCATTGTCTTTTTAAAACGAAATTATCTTATATCGTTTCAAAGATGTTTGCTATTTAACAATTACTCATACGTTCCAGACTTACTTGCATGATTCGATCTATCCCAGAAGACACAGGTTTTGATTTGGTTACTTAAAGGCTTCGTTCGAAAATTTCTAACTGAACAGAGAGAGAAAGGAAGATGAGGGGGATAATCGTGCTGTATTTGGACTTGAAGTTTTCACCCAAAGGAACTCTGGGCATCCAGAACTTACGGTAATAGATAAAAATGTAGTCTCAGGAACTTTTTCCTCAATCGAGGTCGCATATCTGGAAATATTTTTCCTTGAGAATCATGCGTTGCACCCAAGTCAAAGGTCACAAGTCAACTCGCATGGCTGTAAATTCAGTGACCTGGTTGGTTAGCTACACCTGTTAATTTTGACCGATAAGAGAGCGGATGGAACACAAAGTCCTCATAACTCTCTGTTAGGGAACCCTCCCATGTACTCAAATAATAGATTGGTAACATATATTGATTAGTTAGAAAAATAGCCCAAACAATAGCCGATACCAGAAGAAAATCATTAATCAATTCTAATTGGATCCTTCTTCCAGAGCCATATTTATTTTTAAATACATTTATTAGCACGAAAATAAATAGGGTATTACTTAAGACGGGTGTGGCCAAATTAACACGAAACAACATTATTCCGTTCCCATTATAAAATCGGGCACTTTTACTCATGCTCCTCCCAGGTTGGCAGACGGAGAGTAGAATTCAAAGCTGCACAGATGACGATTCCTTGACAACTCAGAGCCGATACAAACATCCAAACTTAAATATTTCAAACGCTACTATTTCAATAGGAGAGTTTCTGCTAATAAATAATTTTTGGACTAAAATGAAACAGTTGAGTGCATATTTAACACTATCAGTTCCAGCCCCCTCCCCCCCCTCCCCCCTCATAAGAAGTAAGGATGGGTCAACACTTGCATATTGACACCTTAATAAGGATTGAGTAGAAATATGGTCAAAACAAACCCATTAGAAAGGCGTGGTCAAGTTGAAATGGATAAACATTACCATCTCTCTCTCTCTCTCTCTATTCCAAAGTTAGTCGCTTCAAGCCACACTCCTCACTCCAAGTTGGTTGGCGCGGTTGAGAAGGCAAGAGGCTGGCGAGTGCGAGAGGGAGGGAGAGAGAATTTATGGGCTCTTAATCCAGAGCCCATCTCTCTCTCTCTCGTGCCGTAAATTTTTACGCTTCTGAGAGGGATAATAAAATACACCCCATTAAGGTGCTACTAAATCAAAATGCAACCATTTCTCAGCTCTCCGACTCTCAATTGCAGCAGCAGCAGCAACTACGAAAAAAGGAAAAACTGTTCCACTTTATTACCCTATATATGTAACAATTTGAAAAGTTAAAGTAACAAATAGATTTTTTTGCTATTGCACGAAAATTTATTACCGTTAATAATAATTACTTTCGAATTCATTTAAGTAAGTATTACAAGCACTTTACTTATGTAGAATAATAGATTCCCAAGGACAATCCAGTGAAAAACTCATACTATATCCCCTTACCTATTGACTAGAATGAATCGTTTCTGTTGGTGCTCGACATCCCTTGACAATAATTGTGATGATCTCCGATCTGCAGAAAAACACAATGAAATTTTAGAGAAAATCGAGGTATCCATAGGAGACAGTAAAGTTGGATGATAGATGATCTGTTCAATGGATGCAGAGGGGGAATTAATAGCATTGTCGTAGTAATCATCCAATAATGAGTTTTGATTGGATTATAAAACAAGAAATGGGTTTGTCCTGCGCGAGCATATAGCTTAGCTTGAAAAATAAGGCGATGCTTAAAAGAAACCATGATATAATCTATGTCAAATGATATTTCTAAAAATATGGGGTAAAAAAAAATTCAACAAAATTTCATATAATGTAGAATCGACCTAATTATTTTCCCTCAATATAAGATTCTGAAGTCAATAAACCCTTTGGTTCAAATCATAATATCGATAAGTCCTAAGAAGGATTTAATTGAATAGAATTGATTCACTTACTGTTCAACAATTTGCAGGCTAATTCGTATTTTGGGCTGCTCCCATGGTCACACAAATGTATGCGGTGGTGGTGGAGGGGGATTGCGAAATTCATCTCAAGGAGCTGGAAGTCATCTTGGTGATCCACCAGACGCACTGCCATCAATGCTGCGTCGCCACGCTCATGTGTGTCTACTCCGCATGTTTCATATTAATAAAAACCTATTCTACTGCTTCTTCTCTCGATTCATTGCCTGCGTGCCCATCACCGAGTTAATGGAATTTCTGCATGGACTTACCAGCTTCTGTTTGGATCCTGTTGTTCTGAATCCTGCCAGACCAGGTTGGTTATTCGTTCATACAATAGCAATAGTTAGGTATCTTGTATGTCTTAGTTCTGGGTAAATGGTAATGAAAATCTATCAACTTTTTTCTTGGAAATGAGATATTTCTATCAATTTTTACATTTACTTTCTACCATGTGGGATATGTCAAACAGCCTTCAAAATCCCTGAGCTGTATTAAAATGGCAAATTGTTCAAAAGGTGGACGGTCTTGCATAGAAAAGTGAACAGGGCTTTGTAAAGCCGGAGAAACGTGGCTACGAAAACACGAACAAGAATTTGAGCCTATGGCATACAAGGACACGATCAGATAAAAGACACACTTTAAGTCTATTGACTGAGAGCTGTATCTGCTCAAAATATTCTTAACTTAAGCATAAACCAGCGATTTAACCCTTAACTTGTCAAAAATGAAGCATACAAATTTTCCAAATTTTTTTAAAATTATTTTGTTTCTATTTGCCATAGCAATGTTTTACCCTGTCACATGCATCTCAAATTGAACGCAACGTTCGTGTGAGAGCATAATCACGTTAAACAAAGCAAGAGTGGGTGCGAGGAAGATAGCAATCTAAGTAGTGAGGGGAAGTGAGGGAAAAGGCTGTAGACAAACATGGTAATGTGTGTGTGTGCGTGTGCTTCTACTCTGGGTGAGGAGAGTGATAGAGGGGAAAACGTGCTATTTCGCTTTGGCAATAGTATCTAGCCCCCCCCCCCTCTCCACCTCCTACTCAAAGTCTCTGCGCTAGCAACCGTTGCCATGGTTGAAGAAAAATATTGCCTAATTGTACCCCATTCACCTGTTCCCATCCTTTCTCAAGTGTGCTCCAGTGGTTTCCAAGATCGCAATCATTACCAACATGAGAGAGACTTCTGCCTAGCATTGACCGAATTCTCCTCCATAAGAGTCAAACTGGCATATAAGTAAACAACAGTTTTCACAATTATTATCAAATTACTTTCACCGATTTAAAAATGAAACCCTATTTTATTTTAGCCGAGAAAATATTAGTTACACCTAGTAAGGCCAAAATATTTCATAGTTTATGCAAAATGCACGAGCTGGCAATATAGCAGTTTTTTCGTTCAATTTTTCCCTTACTCAATTACATTTTTCATCTATTTAAATGAATTGTGTTGATTAAGTGACCTCAATGTTAGCATATTTCACAACAGCATCACAATAAGCTGTTATGTTTTTTTTAATTTTTATTAAAATGAATGCGCAAATACTTGATCATGACATCAGAGTTCTTCATTTTTGCCATTTTGGCGACAGAGGCGGAAAAGGTGAATTTGTGCACATTAGTAGTGGTAAACGGTAAAGAACAAACTATTTTTGCCTCCTAATCGTTCACTTTTGTCAAGGTGAATGTCTTTTACTATTTGCATTTACCTTTAATCAATATTGACTTTTGAGTTGTGAAAAGAGTAACTACACATTTGATGGTTCAAAGATTAATGAGTTTAAGTATTAATTAAGACATTTGCAGCGCTGAATCCTTTAATCCTTTGCACTTTTCATGAGTGTTATGATTTTTTTAATTGTTTTGGCTTCGGACGAAGCCCAACACGGCCATTGCTATTTAATCGCGTTCGGCAATTATCAATCTTTCGACATTAGTAAGTTAAGCGATCGGGGACGTATCACCAATGACCTCATTTTGGCACTTCTGATTAAAGTACACTTATCTAGAAAAAAACATTCTAGCGGATTTAAAACGGCTGTATTTGGCTATTATGCTACTGAAACCATGCTAGTTTGAGTATTTTTCGATAAAGGGAAAAAGACCAGAGAGAACGTGTCGCAAAAATATTTCACAAAATCACTCATTCACGTTAATAAGAACTGAGAAATATACCATTTGGGAGTAATTGTAATATTTAGTGAAAATTTTGAAGGTTGACCTTTGACCTAATTTGTTCAGCCTTTCTTGTTGAATTCATTTGGCATCTTCCTTAGCTCCCTTATTTATTATTAAAGTCAAATTTTAATGAATTATTACTTTACTGCAATCATTAATTCAAGGAAAAACGAATAGGCTATTTGCATCCATTTTATCGGATAAGAAATTCTCGCTGAATATTTGTCTGGGAAACACCACGAGCTTTTAAAAGAATTTAAGTGAGGCACCTTTGTTTGATTATGAATTCTTATTTCTTAAATTGATAACTGTTTGTATTGTAAGAAGTAACAATTATCAATTAGAGAGGTTACTGTGACATCGACTAAACCTTCCATTTTACTGGCCACCAAAATGTTGTTAACGTTGACACTGTTTTTCAGTGGTTATTTTGACATTTCTAGCTTAAAGAAGGAAGCGGTTTACCTTATTTTAGCAGCTGGGTGATGTTCACTTTTGATGTTCAAGGTGGTGAGTTAAAGTACATACGCGAAATGATCAGCAAGTGAGGTGTTAAATCACAATCTTTCCCTTGGGAAATCTCTACTGCCAAATAAAATCACGTTTCACGTACGCACGCACTCAGTCATTCACTCTCAATTATTCCCTCTCTGATCATTTAAAGAGTATTAGCATATTTTGAAATACTTTAATTATTTACCAAAGTAATTCATTGAATTGTATATCTTTTCTCCTAACTGTTTCTAACACAGGAAATTTGGGTTGATAGGGGGGGGGAGGGGTTGGAATAATGAGAACAACTGCATCAGAAATTGAAGGAAAAGTAGACAACCTGTTGAAGTGCTGACGTAAATGTTAAATAATAATAATAATAATATGAACTTTGTGAAAGCATACTGTGCAACCTTATGTATTCGTATGATTGAGTTTTGAACGTTACGGAAGGGCTCGTTTGGTATTTATATAAAGCTATAGTTATGCTAACTGGTCTCTTGAAAGTTCTTATATGATCATTAAGATAGTACTACGATAAAGTAGTTCATATCCAACATATTAAGGCGAAGATAACATCTCGTGAGTTTGAAAAGGTGAGCTTTTGATCAAATAGACTTGTTTTCTTTGGTTGGAATGATTGGCAATCTGATTGGTCAGTGATGTGTCAGCTGCTAAGCTCCGATAATCGACCAAAAATAAAGGAACAAGAGAAGCATAGAAGTCCCATTTAATGCATTTCAATGAAATCGAATTATGAAATATACATTAGTCTATCAAACGATATTCAGTTATCTTTATCCATCGGCTTTTTAAGCACATAGAATTATTATTCCTTTACAGGATGCACTTTGTTCGGTTAATTATTGTTTCCCATGCGTTAATTGACTCTTTCCTATCCTTCAGGATTTTCAGAGAAATGGAGTTATCACAACAGTTTTGGCCAGTCCTTCACAGGCGAAGGGACTCGTGGTGCGGAGGGTGTGATCATTTCCAGTTTGATGGGTTGTTTGGTGCGACGATTTGTTCGATGTCGACGGGAATTGGCCACACAGGAGAATATTAGCCTCTTCACTGAGGTGCGTCACCTCCTTACCTACCTCAAATCTGTTCATGGAAGTACCTTTCGACGGGCTCTCCTTTGTGCCCTCCTCTGCCCTATGCGAACAATTGTATTGAGGAATAAACCAAATAATGCATCGCTATTCAGGCCGAGAATGTAAGTATTCGCTTATATACGCACTTGTTGCCGATGAATCACTTAATCCAGTCCAATACAAACTTTATCAGGGTTTGATATTGCTATTGTAGAACTTAATTAAGTTCTTTGTATTAATTCGAAGCTATGATGTCTAAATACAAGCCACAGTAAATTTACTTCTATGACAGTATCAAACTTCAGTAACTAAGTGAGGGAGAGCAATTAGCATTTGAACAGAATTTTGGAGGATGGAACTTCTAATAGTAATTGAAAGAGACATAAAAGCATTGTTTAAGAGTTCCGGTTACATGAGCTTATTGACTTTCCAGCTAAGATAATTTCATTCTCATGTAGCCACTCAGTCTATGAAAAAGACCAAAAAACCGTGGAACAGATTAAGTCCCTCAATATGCATTTAACAGTTCTAATATCCATTGCCTCTTAAAGTTTAAAAACACCTAGAAATCCATTTTTCAATAAAAGAAAGAAATTTTGGCCGATAAAGATCGACTTTTAATTGGCAAATGAAGATTGATCTTTTTATGATGAGCCATTATAGTTCTTAATTTTTCTTCCTGTTTAGTCAATCTAACGAACTTTTTTTATGCTATCCATCATTTAGACTCTCAGCAAGGAATTCTCTTTGGCCCACTTCTTCTTCAAAACGTCCTTCAATTGTCGTTCCATCAGGCGATTTCGCCGATGTGGTTGACTATTCTGCAACTAAAAGAACGCAATTCGGTCAAAGTCAGAGTTGGAAGTCGCGGGCTGGTCCAGTGGACTTTCTACACGGTAAACTAAACACTTTACACATGATAATAAATTACAGTTATTAGAATTATCACTGAGTATGATGTATTTTAGTAGATCCTAAAGCTCCTAAGCTTGTGACGGAGCGACGTTTGATCGATTTACCATCGTTGAAAGAAAATCTACGGGATTTTGCATTTCTTCTTGACTGCTTGGAGCCTGGAACCCTACCCGAACCCCAACTAGTTGCTTCTTTTCTTGACTTGGTGTGTTCTCTTAACTTCATTGGCTGAACTTAATCACATTCAGTGGGGCTTTTGCTCTGATGTTTTAATATTTCCCATTGACCGAAAATAGGCTTTTTTCAAATCTGATCTATTACTCGCTAGCAGCAATATATCAGGGGGACGTCAAATTTCTTCAGCCATGGTTTAATGCAAGTGGGACTTGGCCAGACGAAACTGTTTTCTGGATAAGTGACTATGACTAAGGTTTGCTTTATGTTGGGTAATTCGTAGAAAAAATTTACCACTCTGAAATGATAAATGAGCTTTCCGAAGGGTTTAACTAGTTCCTAAGCTTTAGAGTCTACGAACGTGTTAGTCTTGTGAAGCTTATGGGGGATTTGATCATTAAAAATCTGAATATTTTAAAAAGACCCGATGAATTACACTCAAGATATTTCCCAATCTTCCGGCCATCAGGTATTTTAAGATTTCACCTAAATATTTAGGGATTTCTTACAAATTGCGAACTAAATTAAATAGATATAGGGAAGACTATGAAAAGCCTATAAATGAAAATTTTGTGTAGATAGGTAAAGGAGTTACGTTTGACGGCAAAATAAATCGATCATACCCTGTTTGTTGTGTCAAGAAGGAAAGCTGTCACTCTAGACTCCAAGATACCACAATTTTTAACCATCGCAAAATGCATAGAACCCTACTTGGCGTAAGAGCTTTAAACAGTTACGGTAATTAAATAATCCAAAAAATTTCCTTGCTTTAATGTGTTCAGAAAGCTCCGGTTCTAGCACGGGCCTGTCTTCTCCTTGAATGTGCTTTCTTTGTAAATCGATGCAATCGAGGCGAGTGGCCTTCTTGGATGAAAATGAATCTCCCACTTCCAATGCAACAAGCAGAGCAGTTCACTCAGACCTCCTCTCAACACATTGCCATCTCCATTTCAGGTCCTGCGGGAGCAAATACTGATCCCGTTGATTACAATGGCGCCTCTGTTCACACTACCTCACAAATCCAATGTGCTGCTGGAAAGCTATTCCATAGTTGGGCTGAAGTTAGTATATAATTCTGTTTCGCAACAATTTGCCAATTGCTAGGTTTAAGAATAAAGATTTTTCCTTTCATATTAATGTACTATATATAATTTTTTCCCTTATTCCTCTATTTAGTCCCTATCTAATGGTGTTGCAGTTATTAATAATCCCTTTGTGGCAAAATATTCACTTCAATGCTCATTCTAATTAGTACTAACCAACTAAGAGGTATGCAAATACATAAACGAAAATCCGGGAGAATAGCACACTCATTGATCGGGGTAGAGTAAATACGGATGTGGAAATCTATATAAATATGCACTATTGGGAGTAATACATTTTGATGAAATGGTCCCACATGACTGAATGTCCCTTTTGTGAACACTCGTTCAACGAACTTTTAGATTTATAACAATGAAAAAAATAGGCAAACTGATAGATTAGTTTCTGTGTCTGACAAATTTTCCGGCGATTTTTATTTAATGTCTAAGGAATGTGAATAAATAAACGTCGACTTCGATTCAAGGGCACATTGGTCTCATGCTTTACAGTATTTTATCACACAAAATAATGATTTGGTTAAGATCACCCATATGGCTATAGAGTTATTTTCAACCATTCAATGCTCACTTTAAATTACCAATGAAATAGTACCTGTCAATTGCAAAGTGTTCCCAACTAAAACAAAATTTTCCAAGCCTCCTAAGGAGGCTTTAAAGTTTGACTTAATAAATAGATACTATATTCTGGAGACCCTTTGACAAAATACCTACTCAATGCCAATCTTACTATCTGTTAAAATTAATCAACGCGTTCTTGATGCATGTCGTCGGATCAATCTCATGGCAATTTACACGGCTGATAGCCACTTCGCCATTATTTAAGATGTTTTAATTCCTCTTTTCTTACTTAAAAGTCCTAAGATTACAGTCATAAATAAGACAATTTTGATGCGAAAAATCTATCACTTTAGACTAGTTATTTACGATCAATAATATCCCCAATAATGCATGCACCCTTTTTATCCTTCTCTCTTCGTACATCGACATTATTGTAGGGGTTTAATGCCTTACACTCCACCTCCTATCTTTGCAATCTTTATTGGCTGCTGGCAATTTCACTAGTAGGGTCTGATGGCACGAATATTCTTATCTTACACTTTTACGACTAATGGGAATTTAAAAGTCGTAAAATTCCCCGCTGCCTAATGAGAATTTCATGAGTTCATTAGAGTTTCTTATACTGTGAGGACAAAATCGATTGCAATTTTGGCAAATAAAATAAGTTCCACCACTTTTGTGAGTTCTATCTCTCCTCACCCCTCTCCCCCCCCCCTTACCAACCCACGCCGCCTACCAATAACTACTTTGTGCAAAGCTGCAAGATTAGCCAGTTGGGAAAAAGCGGCTTGGGGATTAATTCCACTGATTTTCACCCCTTTAAAAAGTTTTCTTCTAGCTTTTTTTGAGTTCCCAGAAAGACTTCATTACTCTTTTTGTTTTGTTTCGTTCTCTTTTCCGTCTTTTCATTTCCTCCCTCCCTCTTCATTAATTATATTAATTGTTAGGAAATGCGAAAAGGGGAATCCATTAGGGAGTGGGGAGGGAGGTGGGGAGGGGGGGAGTGTTTACTATTGATGTTGAGTAAATGTGTTGAGGAAAACTTTTAGCACTATTATTTTTCCGACTCATTAATACGGCGCGTTTTAGCTGCTTTTTCCGCAATTATCATGGAAACATTGAACCTTGTCGGAATTTTATCGAGTTAATATTAGTTAATGCCACTACTTGTCGGAAAGATTGCAATTTGAGATAAAATACCCCCCCCCCCTACCACCTCCCCCCTCCGTTTGGTATGTTACTGACAGAGACCGACAGAGCTCAACTCTGCGTTATTTCTACCTGACATCTGCCCAAAATACAAATAGTTAAAAGCAGTGAAATAATAAAAAACGTGTGGTTGTTTTGTCGAAATTTTTAGCCTCGTATTATGAAGAAAGGATGATTAATTTACCACTCATTGAAACGTATCAAAATGAGACTTGCAGGGAGATTTGTTCCTCTAATCCCTTCGAATGATTTAGGACTGGGATGATATTAACACGGTAGCGTATTCGATTGGACTATGCAACTGTTAACTGAAGTACCCACAGTATAAAGCTTCTAGCCGATTTATCGCAATTGGGTCAATTAATTATGAGCTGCACATTTACTAAAACGTTATTATTATTAATTCAAATGGCAGGCTTTATGATATTTATCATTTGCCTCTTAGTTGACTCCGGCTTT